CTGCGATCGACATGCGAAGCTGCTACTCAGCTGAATCGCAGGCAACGGCATTCTGGCACTCAAAGCTAACCAGACCGACTGTAGTCTTGGCCCTGGGACTTCAGGGCGAAGATGACGCGACCAGCCACCTGCCCCATGACCAAAGCAGCGAATTTCGAATTATGACAGCTTCGTCTCTGAGGCAGACAAAGCCTGCCTGCCAGCTTCGCAAAGCTTGATAGACCTTCGGCGAATCCGCACTAGACACACTAGACCAACAGGACATGGTTTTCTGGAGTCCAACACGCGAGTGTCTTGTCTGGGTCGCGGACTTTCTTTGCATTGGCTTTGGCTTTGGTAATGTTTCTCTTCATCTGACATGCTTTTGCGGATTCGGACTGGCAAGTACGTCCCTTTGAGGCTGGGACTTCAACCACAGCCGTTTAGACATCTTCCACTGTAGAAGACGTCACAAGTCAATGCCTCGCCTTCATGGAAGCCACGTAGCTGGTGAACAGCCTGCCCGCTCTGAATCGCAAGCATCCGTCATCAGACACGCGACGATGGAAAGGCTGAGAATCTTCGCTGCGCCGCTGCACCCGAAAGCTCAAGTTACTATGTCAGAGCGCTGTCGGAGCATCGGCTGCCGAAGTTGGACGTTCGGCCGGATACCCTACCGAACAAGTGCTGCAGCCGCAGTACCTGAGCTCAGTGAGCCTCCTTGCAGGCAAACCAACCATTTCCATGCAATGCAGGGAAGGTGAACACGGATGGATTTACGAGACAGGCAGTGCTGCATGCAGTTTATCGGTTGCGCCAACTGTCGGCTCTCCTTGGCGACTGCACGCTTTCGGGTGCGAATCTAACATCAGAACGGTCTCGAACAGTGTTTCTTGGATTGTGCACGTGAAGCGCAAGGCAACGATACAGTGTCACATCGTCATAGTTAAAACTGAGCGATGAAGCAGTTTGGAAAGTCAACAGCTCGTTCGGCCAAAAGGCAAGAAGTGCAAAAACACAGGTGCTGGCTGATGAGCCTTGACACAGCGGGGCTCTGGACCACAGTCTCCATCCTCATGGCCTGGGGAGCCATGGGCTTCCGACTGAGAGCCAACTGAGCAACCACAGACAGCCGTCCGAACAGCCTCCTTCATCTGCCCGGCCGTGAGCCTAGACCTCTGGCAGCTCCACCGTCTGCATATCGTGCTCGCTCTCTTGGTCCCTAAGCTCTGCGCCTCTTCACCAAGAGATTCTCTGAGTTTTCCCTCAAGTACTCGACACCTTAAGACCAAGAGCCACTATCCATTGTCCAAAGATCTACACAACGAGTTCTTCCATCATCGTATCATCGATCGAGCACCGTGCGTTCCAGTACCGGAACCTTCCTTTGCTTTTGATCCTCTGCAGATCGACTCTGCCGATGACAATCGATGCCCTTCGAGCAAAGCTGTCTTCTCCTGCTGAATCTGCCGCAAAAAGCCAGCAGCCCAAATGAGCCTGAAGATCGGAGCACGAACTGCCCATAGATGTCCGAAATGTCTGTGTCGTGAGTGGCCGACGTAAACCATTTTGCTGCCGGAAAATCCCTGTTTGCCAGGTGAACAACACAAGCTTTCGCTCAGCGTGCTCTAAAGCGCTTGTGACACTGTGTTGCGCGAACGAATGTGTAGCGCGCCTGCTTTCGGATTTCAGCTTTGCTTGCAGCTTGCGGCTCTCCACCTTGTGGGATTCCAGGCGCACAACACGGGCAAGAAAAGGCTCTATGAGAGATGCACTGGGGCGACTGGGCATGCTGCCGCTTGCTTGGCCTGTTCTTCCTTGCGAACGAGCTCCTGCCCACCAGAGCCACAAAGATCTCATCAGCACTGCCACTCCAGGCTCTGAACCTCCTTCAGCGAATCTGCAGCTTCCTGAGAAGGAAACATAACAAACGCCTCGGTCAGCCTCTCGAACCAAGTGCCTCCACCATCCGCTCGCGTTGAGTTTGGTACAAACGTCGACGGTAGGATCTTTCCTCTCAGAGGGTTCTCTCTAAAGGCTCGTCCGGCCGGGCTACTTTCAAGGCTCCGGAATGGCCTCTGCAAATGCGGCGATTCGCTCTTTGCGATTCGCCGGCAACCATATCCGAATGGCCTCGGCCGCTTGTTGTGCAGAACTGCAGAACCCGCTCATCAGCACCCCAGCTGATTCAGCGAGCCTCGGGAGTGGTGTTGCGAACGACCAGAGTCTGAGAGGGCTTCCTTGCTGCAGGCCACAGTGCACTGGGAGGGGGGCGGGCGAAGAGTCTCTGCTGTGCTTAGGCTTTGCACCGCGGGGCGAGACCACTTGAAGCCAAGGGAGCCTCGGAATCAAACGGAAACTATGCCAAACTGGCGGCATCTGGCTCTTGAAGGGGAAGTGCTAGAGAGTCAGGGACATGACAAAGAACTAAGAAAGCACATGAGCTCGACAATGTATCTTTCAGACCACGGACAAACACAAACTCCGAACCGTAAAACTCAATTCTAGACATGCAAAACCCCAACCCCGATGTCCTTACCCTGTCAGATTTCGGCATGCAAAAGTTTAACAGTACACACCGCTGGTTCTACAACCCCAACCCTAATACCAAAAGCCTGCGATTACAAATCCTCAACCTGCCCCTGCGTTGAACCCGGCAAACGTTCTTGATTTGATGGTTTCTGGAGGACAGGAAAAGCTCGGTCGCACGCCAGTGGAGGCAGCTCCGGCTCGATGCGACGGCAGAATTTGTAGGCCTGGCCATGCCCAGCGGCGGCGGCCCTCGCGCTCTCCGCGCGCTCCCCTCTCCCCGCGCAGACCCGCGCGGGTCTGAGGGCGCCTGGAGCCGCTCCACGAGGCGCTCCTGCGCCTCCCGCAAGGCCTCGTCCCCGTCGTTGTCAGCGTCCCCTCGGAGCGCCAGCGCGTTGTGGCGACTCTCTCTCGCTCTCTCTCCCAAAAGGCGTCTGTCCCTTTCCTTCCCCCCTCCTGCCTTCTGCGCCCTCCTTCTGAGCCTTGCCTCCCGCCAGTAGATCACCTCACTGCCAGGATGCGCGCTGCCGACACGGAAGGCTCCGAACACAGCTGAGCATGCTGCCGAAGGTGGGCTTCTTCTTCGGAGACCGCCGAGGATCAAAACCCTGCACTGCTACCAAGCTGTCTATGCGAACAAAACAGGACAAGAGGAACGCTTCTCACTGCTCTTAATCCCGAAAATCTGTCAGAACTGCCTAACCTGAGCCGCCGCTGGCCTCGAACATGGTCTTCACTTCGCCCAGTGCCGTGGTCAGCTTGTCGATGTCTTTGACCAGCTTGCCCTGCACATGAAGCTGTGTTGGGGAACCGCCCTTTAAGTACAGTTCTCCGACCTGATCTACCACCTCGGTCCTTCCTGCCCGCGCAAGCGTATAACGTGAGAACTCAAGCCCGGGCTGTTGAGCAAAGCAACGCCCTGCCTGCCACCACCGCCCCAGAACGGTGCGCACGTGTGAGGCCGAAGATGGTACCCCCTGCACGTACCTGGCGCCGAGGCTTGTTGGCCCTGCCCCTGGGGCGTCAAGGCAGCAAGGGGCGGCACGTTCTCAGACGAGGCCTTCGGAGATAGCCCATGCAGTGCACTATCAGACCTTGGAACCAGAGACACTTATATGGTACCACACAAAGGACCAAACATGAAGCAAGCTGTTCTTTGGCAGCCTCTTCTGTAGTAGAGTCCCAGGGCTGAGTGCCGAGCTTCGATTTTCGAAGCAGGGCCTCCGCGCAGGATCGCATGTGCCGCTGGGCGAAGCGTGCACAGCATAGCTGAACAGCTCAGGTTCTTACAGGGCCAGTGCTGGCCATGTCAGGCTTAAGGCTGGAAGCCTGCGGCGCGTGCGGGCCAAGAGTTTCTGAGCTACTTCCCTTCGTTCCGATCGGCCTGGAGCCTTGAGGGAGTCCCTCCCCAGCCATCCGTAAACACCCAGCCCTGTGGCCAGAGAACACAAGAAGAAGAGCATGGCTGCTTAAAATGGCGGCGGGATTTGTGCCTCTGTGCCTGCTGGGGATGGGGTCGTCACACCTTGCCTTGGCTGATGCTGAGTTTGGAAAAGGAAATTCTTTGCACCGTATGCTGGGGACGCTGCTTCGGCGTGCTGAAGTACATGGTCTGCGCATGAGATCTCAGTGCTGACACCTGGCCCAGAGCTTGTGCTGCCCACGCATGACATAGATTCGATCGTCTGAGCACGGAACTCCTGACAGAGGCCGAATCGTCGGCAGCCAACCAGCAGATTTCGACTCCGCAAGCGCAAGGGGCGAAGCCTTCGGTGCCTTCGGGCCTCGTCAACCAGGTCACAAGGTGCTTCCACTGGGTGGTTTTCAGTATCTGCAAGGCATCTGCTGTCGACTTCCTCCAAGGGAGGTGGCCCTTCCATCGCTAGGACCGCATCTCGGATTGCTTTGAGTCTTGAGTTTGCTAGGTAACAAGGGTCAGCATCCAACCGTGGCGCAGTTCTCATACTGTCCCTCTGCTCTGGTGCATACATTCAATCTTGTGTCCACGTATCTCTGGGATCCACCTTGCCGGATATGCGAAAGACATTAATTGGCACCTGGCAGGTCCATGCCACAACTGCATCTTCTAGCTTGCCAGTGCTCTGCGACTTTCTTTTCTGCTCAGGCGAACAGGCTCGAAAATTCACGACATCACAAAGCAAACCGACACGTAAACGACCAAACAGACGGTGTATCGAGGTGCAAATGATACTAGTGTCCGGGTGCTCCGTCACGTCACCGAGCAGAGAGAGAGTAGCTGACCGGCGCTGCTACAATCCAAAAGAAACTAACCGGATGCATGGACATTACTGCACAAAAAAGGCTGCACTGTCCCTGTCTACTTGCGTATTCATCTCTCCTGTTGCGCGGAGTTACGTTCTCTCTACATGTCTGTGTACCTTGATTATACGCATGTCTGAATGGGTAACAGCAGGGTGAAGTGTTCGCCAGTCTTTCCCATGGTGACACATCGCTGAGATTCCCGTTGGCATTCAGGGAATCGTCGCCATGACTTTCTTCGCGAAGTAATCGAACTCCTGATCTGCTCGGAGCCGCGTGATGCGGTCGATGCTGAGACATGTGTAAGGATGTCTACTGCACTGCGAAACCACCCATGATCGTTCCTCGTACACAGGCGAAACACCAGTCTGGAGCTTCGAGAACATGAGCTTGCCGGTGTTGAGGTTCATGACCTTAGCAACTAGCGTCGTTTTCTGGGGCAGCGCTGGTTCTTCAGGAGGGTGCCTCGAAAGCACCCTTTCGGTACTTGATCGTCGATCCTTCCGGCAGGAGCTCCTCAAGTGCACTCTCAAGGTCTGTGCTGCGGGTCCATGCACCTTGCAACGGCATGTCCTTCAGGACCATGGGCTCGTTCAATGCAACCCGCACCTATCAAAAAAATCATGGATGGGTCGTCTCCAAATCAAGGACTCGTGCCACAAGGGGCCTTCGGACCGAATGTCTTTTGAACCTTCCGGATGAAATCCTCCACTTCCTGGCAGCCGACAGCGGAGCTCGGTGGTTTTGGAGTCGGAGTCTCGGAATGTCATGAGTGAAGGCTGTGTCACGCCTTGTTTCCTGGCTTGGGAAATGTGCTGAATGCCCTGCAGCAACAACCAAAGAGGGGGACACGAGCAGCCCTTCTGACAGGTGGCACATTGCGCAGCCTCTTTGCCATTTCGGCTTCGACTTCGTCTTTCGGCCTTCTGCGTGGCACAGCAAACAGGGAAACAACACGAGGTGTCGCACGCCTGCAAAGAGAAAGGGGTCACAGAGAGAGAGGGAGAGATAGAGAGAGAGGAGGAGAGCACACCACGTGCTAAACCCGGAAGCTGAAGACCGGGCGCAACATCATACTCGAGATGGAGAAGGGTGACTCCCTCTGGGATCGTTGCCTTCCACAAAGATAGCTTGCAAACTATGAAACTCTCGGCGGCTCTCAGGGTGCGGCAGGCCACTGCATGGGAACTCTAACTTTAGCTTGCTCGGCAGCTGTTTTCCGAGCCTTGGCTGCAAAAACCGTCTACAGGACATGACTGGGACAGAGGTTGGGCTTTGTGGAACTCGTGGCATCGGCCGTTCATGTTCGCAGAAGTACGTCGTGACGTAGTCGGATGCAGGCCATAGTTTTGTTGAATTCGCCTCCACCCCCATTTCGGCCAAAGGCACCCACAAACTCTACATCCCCTCCCCCAGCCTGCAATCCCTTCTGTTCCGTAGGCCCTCCTCAAAGGCATCTTCTGATAGGCTGCCGAGGCGGACGAGAACGACAACAGGCCTTTAAAAGTTTACAGTCGGAACTAACCAATAAGACCCGAATAAACTATACCAGATACTTGTAGAACATGGGAAATATTTTGTGGCATATACTATAGATATATGTACATATATACATATATATATACGAAACACCAGGCACACTAAGTCCTCATACGATATCCGCTGGTCTTTCCGTCCAACTCGACCAAGACGCCAAAGATCGCTCCGCCTGCTTCGCCTTTGCCGATTTGAAGCTCGAACTCACAGGGCTCCTCTTCACCTGCGGATACGAAGATTGCTACAACCAGACCTGGTACGAACCATCGTGATGCTTACTATGATATCTGGTCACACTTGTAGAGTGGCAGTAAGAAATCAGAAAGATCATGATGACGGTGGTGAGTGAGACGGTGGTGAGTGAGCCAGCCACAATGGCAACAATACCAAGCAAAAGAATAGTAACAACAAGAAGAATGGCAACGACGAGAGATTATAGAAACGATCGTGGTGGTAGAAGGATAACGAAGCACTCATGCTAACCACCTCAAGAACAGTGATGGGTATACCGCTCGAGCTGATACTCAAGGGGTGAAAAGGCGGACCCGACAAATTATCCACATGTTCCGATCTTCCAGTGCTCTCATTTCCTCAATTTCTGGCTCAAGACACTAGCGGCTCTGTGGATTCCCTTTAAGGAGGCACTGGGTTGTGCACAGCAGGCCGAAAAAGCCAAGCTTGTGTGAAGTCAGAGCATACAATTGTTTCTGCAGTCTTTGTTCTCGGGCTCTCGGGTTTCTTTGTTTCTCTCGTCCATTCTTTGGATCAACGCCGCTGCTTCTTGCAATTCTGTCCGCACGTTCAAGGAACACTCTCTCTCTCTCTCTCTGAGGGGCTTCGAGAGGAGGCTTCCTCGTATTTCCTGACGTGAAGAAGTAGAGACAGTGGGTGCAACATCCCATCGCAAAACAGACAACTCAAAGTAGCCAAAAGTTCGCCAGCGTGACGCGTGCTGCTTCTACGCGGCCCCGCAAGTCTCTTGGATTCTTGTTTTGTTTGATCGCCTCTTCGGCATGAGAAGAAAGCTGCGAGGAGCCCATTACTGTACATCCCTCTACCGATGAAGCCACCCCGTCAAGGACTTGGTCTCAATCTGACCTTCCTTACAACTTGCAAGCTGGTAGACACGCCAGCGATGGTAAAGTGACAACTGGCGCATGCATGGGTTCCTTTGCATTGCATCTGTTTTTCTGCTCACGACAGCCTGAAGCCATGCTGGAATGCATCGTGCACCATCGTGCACTCTCCGCGCACGCTTGCAAGTCTGTCAGGGATCTCTGCGGATCTGCGCATGGCAATTGTTGTTGCATCTTCACACCTGCTGCTGCAGACGCATGAGTATTGCTTCTTTTCCACCTATTCTCCCTCATGGGAGAGCCCCCGAAAGTTCTCCGCATGGACGGAACAAGACAGGAAACATGTCAACACACCCCTTTCACCACGCCCGCCCTTCCCACCCCCCACCCGTGTGCTCGTGCGCTTCTCTCTTCTCTTGTTTCACCACCTCGGAGCCCAGCCTTCCTCTTGCATGGCCCTTGAACGGCCTGACCCATCGAGACTTGAACAGCTCCTGCACAGCAAGTCAAGACCAATTCCGAGGTCACATGTTGGACTGATACTGAGGTGTGAACTTCCAGCTTCCTGCAACGACAGGTGTGAACAGCACTGCTGGTCTGAGAGAAGATCCAGCTCGCCTCACCCTTGAGCAGAGTCATGGATGGGGAACCCGTGAAGGCCAAGCTCTTGGTCAAAGAAAGGCAGGCCACGATCGCAGCCCCCAATGCCTCGGAGGAAGACGGCGTTGCTATCCATGGGAATACCACCTTCAGGCTCCCGGCCAGCAAGGGCGCTGCCACTCGGTGGCTCCTGGCCCTCATCATGGCGCTACCGCTGACACCTTAGCCATCATCACAGGATCGCCAGCAACAAGATGTGCTTCTTCGGATTTTGGGGAGAATGGGGCGTCTTGGCGAGGGTCTTCCTGCCCTGCCCTACTTTTCCCAAGTGTAGAACTGCTGCCCATATGTGAAGGACAATCCTTGCAAGTTGTGCCCTGCATAAAGGCTCGTAGCCTCTCCTGTTGCTGTCTCTATCATATTGCCATCATATTGCAACACAGAGCTTGGCCAAGATCACTTCCTGCTGCTTGCCATGCTGATCCAATTGTTAGCAGGCTTTCCGAATGCTTAAAATGCTCATAGCAGACAGCGCTGTCAATGCGACGGGAGACTGCTCAAACCAATCTGGGGACGCTGCTGGATGGTGCCACGGAGCAGTGCCGCTTGAGCTGAAGTGCCGCCAGCGAGGATCAGAAAAGGGTCGGATCTGCACGACAACCAGCAAGCAGGCCGACATGACCATGGTCGGTTTCTGTTTTCACCTCTTAGCTGCAGATGG